TCTACATACAGGCTAAACACTGAATAGTGTCTAGGTTGCAGAAGAAATTCGGACTTCTACATTGTTGCTAAGATTTGGACTTCCAAATAGCAAAATTGAGTCTTACCTTCCTCATGAAAGTTTGAGGCCTATTTCTTAGCTTTTCATCCATATAAAGCAGATCTAAATCCAAGTTCTACAGCTCCAATTATGATCCAATTACCAAACAGTATTCTAGTTTGGACTAAACCAACATTTCTTTTCTAAGCTTCACCGTTTCTTTATCCTTTCAATTTCAGTACTCTAACTCATCAATCAATCCTTTGATTTATGTGATAGACCTGTAATTAGGGTGAACATTTACCATAAATTAAAGGTATCTTATAGTATCAGGCTTGTTATTATCAAACATATTTTAGTTAAGGAGTTATTAATACTTTAAATGCAAAATGATGATATAAAATCTTGATAAAAATATACTTTTAAGTACTAATCAAACACCTGCAGTTATGACTAGGCTCTTCCTATACAAATCTGTGAATTGGTTTTGTAACTTCTTCTTTATTATCCTTATCTAAAAAGGAAAGGAATGGCTTGCAACATTTTATAGGATAGAATAACACCATCTTAGGATTTGATGGTTTGGCAACTATAAACATTATAGAGAGGTTACTAGATCTCCCTTCAGATGTTGAGCAGTTGTTTGATTTGAGTCTTGCTTGCCATTTAGCTTTTACTAATCAACTTCTACTCCATATGAGCAAGCGTCATTAGATTTTTTTAATACCCCTATTTTTTAAGGTTTCTAGTTGAATGCTGACATGACCAAAAGATTGATATCTTATCCCAGTATCAAAATAATAAATAATTCAGCAAGACTAGAGTCGAACCACAAGGAGGTAAACTATATAAATTGCAAGTAATAATAATAATAATAATAATAATAATAATAAAGAGTTAAAGAGAATTTTGAGATGTGAGAGTAATGTAAGGATTAAACAATGATAAAAATAAATATCAAGGTTAGAGGATCCACTAATAGTATTAAAAATAAATATAAGACAAACTCTTTTTATTATCAACTACAAACCACACACAAAAGAGGTTCCAATCGGATGATTTATCATTAATAACTCATGATAAATTATTAACATGATCATATTAATTATCTTATTTAAATAACACCAAACTTTTAAATATTATCAGAAATTCAAGATGTTAACTTATGTTAATAAGTTCCTTTCACAGCATAGGTGTAAGTTATACCATACGGTTGACTATGAAAGTGTCAAGCATTTGTTGTACTAAGTTTTATACAACACAAATCTAGATTAACCATTTAACAAGCAAGGTATTAAGAATTAATAAGATAAAAATGATAAGATATGTTAATAGCAAGTTGTTTAAGATATAAGCATTAAAGTCTATATTGAGTTTATATTATACTTATCTTAACACCATTAGTGAAACCTGTTAAAATAATTAAGATCAAACACAAAAAGGAGGCTAGAATTCTGAATAATTTGTATATTATAAATGCTTAACCTTAACCTAAATACAAATAAAGTATATACAGATTAAACTGAAAGTACTATTCTAGTTTTAATAAATAAGACTACATAAATATTATTTAACATCTCTCCTCAAACTCACGATGCAGCAGCTACAAGCATCAAGAGTTTGCCAACTAGAAAACAAAAACGAGAGATGGAATGTGCCTTGGTGAAAAAATCTGCAATCTACAAGAAAGAAGGAACAAAAGGCAAAGCAATAGTGTTATGCTTGAGATGATGACGAGTAAGATGACAATCGATCTCAATGTGCTTAGTTCGCTCATGAAAAACCGAGTTGTGAGCAATCTAAATAGAACTCTAGTTGTCACAATACATAGGAGTAGGATGAGAAAACAAAACTCCCATATTAGCAAGTAACCAATATAAACCAAACAATATCTTTGGTAGTAGTTGTCATGGCACGATATCCTGCTTCGGTGGATGATTGAGAAACAATAGATTGTTTCCTACTTTTCCAAGAAATAACAGAGTCACCTAAAAAGATACAGAACTCGGTAACAACTTGCGATCTGTGGGATCACTACCATGATTAGCATCAGAGTATGTATGTAACTCCAAGAAAGAGGTGGATGAAAGTAAAAGACTCTAAAAAAATGTACCCCGAAGATATCACAAAATATGAAAAACAGCAGCCTAGTGAATAGTAATAGGAGAAGCAACAAACTGATTAACAACATGAACAACATATGCAATATCTGGACGAGTAATGGTGAGATATACCAAACTCCTAACAATAGTGCGGTATAAAGTAGGATCTATCAAAGGTAAACCAGCAGAAGAAGAGTACCTTGCGTTAACCTCAATGGGAGTATCTACAGTTTTGTTATCAGCAAGTCTAGTCTGCTCAAGAATATCTGTAACATATTTCGACTAAGAAAGAAGGTAACTTCTAGGTGAGTATGCTACCTCAATACTTAGGAAATATCGAAGATAACCCAAATCCTTCATTTCAAATCATCTAGCCAACTCTGTCTTCAAAACTGAAATACCATCAATGTCATCACCAGTAATAATCATGTCAACAACATATAAAGACAGAATGATACGACTTGCATCAGTGCACTTAATAAAAAGAGCAGAACCATGACTGCTAGAAACAAAGCCAAGAGATGAGATCACAATAGAGAATTTCTCAAACCAAGCACGGGGTGCTTGTTTGAGACTATATAATGCTTTTTTAAGCTTACAAACATATCCAGAGTCATGTGAAATACCAGGAGGGGGTGCCATGTAAACTTCTTCTTGAAGATCTCCATTCAAGAAGGCATTTTTAACATCAAGCAGAGAAATATGCCATTAACAAATCGAAGTTACGACAATAAGAGTATGAATAGTAGTCATTTTTGCAACCAGGGCAAATGTCTCCTCATAATCCATACCATACTGTTGAGAATATCCTTTTGCAACTAGCCTAGCTTTGTATCACTTAATAGACCCATCAGAATTAGTTTTAATCTTATACACCCAACGACAACCAACAACACTC